AAAAAAAAAATCACACATCAAAATTCTCTATGAAAGGAAATATTTTTAAATTTTTCACATAGAAATTTTTTGATACAAAAAATTAGTTTTTGAAAATATGCCATCTCAAAAAGATTTAAAATATATCACAATGGTAGCTCTGAGTATTGCACCATATTTAAGTGCAGTATATGGGGTGCACTCTACAATAATTTGAGTTATGAATTTTTTTTACACCGAAGTTGAGTAAAATGAGTACATTACAAATTACAGATTTTTTAATTTTTTTTAGAAGTGTGCAGCTTTTTGAGTATACAGTCTTGTAGCCCATTAAATTTTAGTACAATAAAGTGCAAGTTTTAAGCTATATACTAAAATTTAATGGGCTACAAGACTGCAAACTCATATGCGTGTACAACAAGAAAATAAAATTTTTATAAGATAACTTAATGGAGCATTCCTAAAGAACTATAATTTGTGTGCATAATCCATGTACATACGTAAGTACGGACTCATCTTAGTTTAACAATTTTAGGAGTAACAAAACACCACTTTTAATTTCCCGCCTAGCTGAATTTTTTGCATAAGTGTGCCGTGTATGAATCTATGTATGTGTGTATGTATGTAGGTACATACATATATACATATGGACTTACGTTGCTCCAACATTTTTCAGTCCGAGAAAAGCTGGAGTGAACTGATATCGTACATATCGACCAGCATTTGCATCTCCTGAATCTCTAATGGACATTCCCTCTGTTGCGTCTATCAATTTGTCTTCCGAACTAGGTGAAAATCGATCGCTTGGCTTTGCTATTTCAAACAAAATTGCACCCGAATCCAGGTCACGTATTTTAAAACGTGTAAAATCAATATCGTAAATGTTGTCATCAATAGAACATAAATATTCCTCTGTTATTTCGTTTAAATTAAGAACGTTATTTGGTGATATAAACTTTCCAGGCATTGAAGTTTTTGAACTTTTTTCTCTAGTATCTTTTCCATTGATGTCAGAATTTGTTTGCAAGGAATTAAGTTGTTTACCAACGACACTCATTTTACAAATATTATGAAGCCAGGCCTTTTGATATCTGAGAACGTTTTCTTTAACACAAGATTGAAAAGATTTTAAAATTTCGGTTTGGTCCAGTTCGATACTCAACGTAACACATAAATAATTGTGTTGGCCTATAGTTTATTACACAAATTTTAGATAACAGTAACAATTGATTTCACTTTCATTTCATATATCACACTTGAACATATGCATGCATCTTGCACAAACACACAGTTAAGTATAGCAGGATTATCGATAACAAAAAATGTGTTTGTTAATGAAGTCTGGACACTCCGAGCGCTCTGCTGATGTTGAGCATTACGAATTTCTACGAAAACAGTGTGATACCAAGGCGAATTTAATAATAACAAGGGGCGGGGAGAACATTGTGTCAAAATGATATGTTTGTTGATATTTTATGTTTTTGTACTCCTGCTACCAGTTGTATGAATTTCGCCTTGGTGTGATACATTCCTCCTCGTTTCAAGGTCAGTTTTTCAGTGCATGGCTGTGGTTTAAACCTAGTTTAAACGCTCGAGTTGGCTATGATTAACCAATCAAATGTCAGCCAGCTGTACAACAGAGGGCCATTTTCACATTCATTAGTTAACTACTATGCTAATCTTAAACCACCATTTTTCATTTCACAATAGCAGTTTGGGTAATGGTTGACTGCAATTAACTAATGTACATCCAACTGCCGTTTTTCTAGTATTTAACTAATGACTGAATGGCCCATAAGCGCAGTTTACACTTAAAAAAAAAAACATTGGTTAAACCAACTAACTTCCATAGTTGATTTGCTGTCAATGTAAATTGTTGTTGTAAAAAATTTTAGTTAACTGCTAACGTTGGTCAAATTTAAAATTTTTTATAGGTTGGGGTACATTTGGTAGAAATTGTTGTTGTCATCTGGACAATTTTTCCCTTATATTTGTTGTTTCTTTCTTACCAGTAAAGATAGTGAATTAACAATTCAATAATTGTTGCTTCCTACGCTTACTATTTCTTTTGTTAAATTAATCTATGGAAATTGTATTTCTTTTTTTAATATGTTGTTAGTGTGAATTAACTGATTTTAATTGGTTAGTTTTACAAATAAGTTGTTTCCCCAAAACAATCGTTAGATCAACTGTAAATGCTGGTCAAATGTACCACACCAAACGCGGTTAGAATATTCCTAATTGAAATTGTTGTTTTTTTATAACATTTTCGAAAGGTTATTTCGACAATGGAAAATTGTTAAATATTTTTTACTTTGTACCATGACTATTACTACTGTTAAATTAACCAATAAATTGTACATGTTTTGAAAACAGTTTACTGCTTTACTCCGGAGTAAGATGGCAATACTTTTACTCCAATAGTTGGAAAAACAATGGCAATACTAACAGCCGATGCGAACTATAATCAGTTCGCTGAAAACTTTGAAGCCAGTTGTCCGTGAACAGTGTGTGCAAAATTTATAAAAATGGAAGAGCCATTTTTAGAGACAGAAAAGGACGGACTAGAAATTTTAATAGAAAGTTGGGGATTCAGCCATATCCTGCCAGATTTACAAGGTGAGTTTATTAAAAGGGATTTTCATAAATAAATGTGCAATATTCAGCAGAACTTCGATCAAGCAAATATTCCGTTATTTGGCTTCGGTTGTGTTGTTGTTTTTATTGTGTGCCGGAGAAAAATAAGGAGTGCGTAAGTTATTGCGTGCATCGAATTGACACTAACGTTTGTATAAAAGAAATTATAAAAATATATTAAACAACATAAATTTTGCTTGATTTTGTAGATGAGTCTATTACGTTTAAACGGCTACAGTATTTGCAAGACGAGGACCTGACGTACTTGTTCCGATAACGTAAATTGGGAGAAAAAGTAGAGTTCCGTTATAAGCTTCAGCAATGGAAAATCGCAAATATGAGTGGAAACGTCAATTTTGAATTTCATTGTAAAAAAATTAATAACTTTTCATTTAAGGGATACTCTGATATTAAAACCTGCGATACAATTTCTGTTGATACCACTTTCCTTGAAGATATCGAAAATTCACACAACTTGAACACTAGTCAATCTACATGCACTTCTTCAAAAATTATTAAAGAGCCTATTGGTTACCGCGGTTGTATTGTAAGTACTGGAATACAGTGAGCTACACTCAAAATTTCAACCTAAGTTATTAAAAAAATTAATTTACAATAACGTGACTCACAATTCAAAAAATACGCTGTCCTATTTTGAGTGTGGCTCATAAACTAATCAAACATATGAAGGTACGAGTACAAAACTTGTGATTTTTTATTTTGCTTTCAAAATTAAGAACTTTCAAACAGTGTTGGAGACTCATCCAAATGGATACTATGTTTATCGGATCTACAAAGAAACTGGAAAACTTAACGATGCCGCGCTGAAAATTCTCATAGATTCAGTAGTGACTTGGCACTTTAAATATAAAATCAAAGTAGGGAGAAAAGAATTTGAGCAGATATCTGTTCAAATTGAAGAGAAATTTAGCGACGATAAGGTTGGTTTGTTACTAAAAGTGCAATTTTGCATGCCTTAAATATTTTTAATTTGTAACTAAATTTTTCTCCCGTTTATTCTAACTTAATTGGAGCACGTCCTTCCGGAAGATTATATGACAAATATAATAGTGTAAAACGCTTAAAGAAAACAGGTGAAATTGTTGACGAGAAAAAGTATACTGAAGGAATCCTCACAACCCGACATTGATGTGAACTGTGCAGAAGAAAAAGGTAATATTGAAAACGATTTAATCTGTTTATGTCGCTTATTTTTACATATATTACTCATACAAAATTTTTTCGTATTGTTCAGAAATTGCAAGGGCTCACGAGTGGCTGAAAATTTTATGCGAGCCGTGGAACGACGTGCAGGAAAATTGGCGGAAGTGTTTCAAAAAACGAAGGCAAGAGATTTTATATACACAAGGCATAAGAAGCAATATCATTGACATCTTACAAAGTTGGAGACTCTTTTCCCAATTACAAAAACTAAAAAATAACAACAAAATTTTAAGTTCAAATTGACTTTAGTTATTTGTACCCACATTCAACATCTGTACTCGATAAATGGGAGACCTTTAAACTCAAAATAATACCATTGCTAAGTGAGAAGTTGTCGGACCCGGCGCACTTGCAGCAACTGGAAAAAATAAGATCAGAAGATAAAGGTTTGCCAGCTTATTTAATAAAGGGTTGCACTTTATTTATAAATTTTTGTTAAACATGTAGGATCGGACCAACTCATAGCGCTACTACTACATGTTTTGCCAACTATAAAACGAAAAGCGAATAGCGTAAAAAAGATTTGCAGGTCTACTGTCAAAGAATCGCAGATATCATTTCTCCTTCATGTAATTACGGCCAACGATGTTGAAAACAGTTTAGAAAAGCTGAAGAGTTCTCTTTACGACCGTGGTGAGACCTTACAACCAATTGTAATTGCAGTTGGTTATAATTTAAGTGACTCAAAATTTTATGTTTATTTCGATGAAATCAAATATGAGATGCCTTGTTGTTTAAGCGCCTTTCATACCTGTTTTAAAGTGTTTCATGTATTGAATTTAAAATACCCTGGCGATAGCTTAGAGTATTGGATGTTCGTTCAAAAATATTTTTATTGTGTACATTTAAAAGACGACAAGCCATCTCCTAACGTACTATGTTTAATTAACAACCTAAAATAATAGGTTTTTAAGCCTTAATTATTATATTATTTCAATATGGGTTCGTGCTTTTTGTGAAAACAAATTTTTCAAAATGTAGATTTTCTTGCAATTCACTTTAAAATTTTGCATAATTTAACATCTTCAAGCACATTCTTTTGCGTTCACTGTAGTCACCATTTCCAGGGGCTGAAGCCCTTTAAAAACCATTTTAAAAACGCTAATTCATGTATTTCGTTTTCAATGAATTCATTAAATAACGACAGCAAAACTAATTCCACTTAAGATGAAAGCCAAATAGAAAGTTACAATGAGTTAGCATTTTCAAACGATTTTTTTTAAACAATTGTTCTTAAGTTTCTAACTAATTTGCACGACAAATCAAATTTTACCAGAAAAGATCTAGATGTACTTGTGAATGATTTAACGCAACTATTATTTTTACCGCTAGCGACCTTTGTGGAGAAAGATTTATTGAAGAACGAACAGGAAATAAATATGCAGAATATAAGGAGTCTCATTTTATTTTTCAAAGATCCATTTTATAAAATTAAAACTTTTCATAAATTTGTAAAAGTTCTTAAAGAACAGGATGCATGGGAAGATGCTAAAGAATTCGAAATCGATAATAGGGTACTACCCGTAATTTTAAATAATGAAATAATTTTTACAGAAAAACAAAGCAAAGGTACTCTCATGCCAATAAAATTTCAGATAAAAAGATTTTTCGAACTACCTAACGTTTTAAAAGATACTTTATGTAATACTTATGAAAGTGAGGGAAAATTGAAAAACATTGTGAATGGAGCATTATGGAAGAAAAAATTAAAGCTTTTCTTAATGAAAAAGCTATTCCATTTACTATTTATTTTGATGATTTTGAAATAAATAATCCTTTAGGGTCCCATAAAGGAGATCAATCCGTTGCTGCTTTCTATTATACTTTCCTTTCAATACCTGATCACCATCTTTCTTCTTTGGAAAATATATTTCCAGCTTTTTTTTTCAAAAGTAAATATAAAACGTACGGAAATGAAGCCTCTCTAAAATTGTTAGTGGAAGAAATAAAAGATCTTGAAGAAAGTGGTATAAGTATTCAAATAGATGGTGTAGAAAAACGATACTTCTTTGTATTAGCTCTTATAACCTACACTGAGAAAAGGGATTAGTTTCGACAACTAAAGATATTTAGTTCCCGAATTTTGACAATATTTGAGAACTGTGACCAAGGATTGGGAACTATTACCATGGGTTGGTAATTATAACTAAATATATTAAAGCTTCTAATATTCATCTAGGTTGTACCAAATCGTTAATTTAGTTGAAGGGTTTGGTAAATACTAATAAATATTTTTTTGAAGCATATTTCTACAAATTCCATTCAACTTAAAGTATGGTTCATAAAAGGATGCCATTAAGCTCTGCTAATACAGATAAGCTTTCTTTCAACACATGGTTTAGTCATAGTTACCAAATCTTAGTTGAGGCAACCACAATTTGGTTTGAGAGCGGAACATATTCATGCTTGTGAGCCACCCCTAAATAATGCTCAGCGCTCTCTGAGCACATGTGTGTTTCACATACGACGAGCGCCAGCTAAGCAATGCACACAGTCCCGCTTATTGAATCGTTTGACTGCGCTAGAATGCCGACCATTGCATAAAAACGATTCAATGAATGAGACTGTGTGCGTGGAAATCATTGCTCCGCTACCGCTGTTCGTATACGGGTGAAACACGCGTGTGGTTATAGAGCGCTCAGTAAGCTATGGCATATCGATCACTGTACTGGGTAGAGAAAGAAAAGTGTGTGCTATGACATGCCCAGGCTTGTTTGTCTCAGTTTCAGTTTTGCCATCGCCGCGACTTGTTTCGGTGCGGGTGTAGTTATTTAAAAATATAAAGTTTGATGCCAACCGGGGTTTTTCAGTGGATATATAATCCATGTGAACTATAATTTGAAAGTATCTATTTAGCCAAGGAAAAAGCAAAGCAGTATACTTAAACCAGCACTTCCAGCAGATATTGACCTGGGTTTGCGCACGACTATTCCTGTTTCATCGTTTCTTTTTAGGAAATTCTTACCACCATATATATATGTATTATTTACTCTAGTAACTATTTATGTAAATATGTATGTATTTTTTATGCTTAATATATGCAAATAAAAGAAGTAAACACAGAAACCATCGAGTAAATTTTTATTTGTGTCAAACTGAAACTTTTTCCAATAATAAACGGTTAGCTGATTCAAGTCTACAGCAAGTTCACAAAATTAATTGAAAACTTGTATCAACCAAAGCATTGTTTATATTTGCTCAACAATGATTTTATTCAACTAACAGTATTGTCCACTCAAGGTAGTCGTTTTGTAATTATTAACAAATATACATTTGACCCAACTAGAAGTCTCAAGTAAATTGCAGACTTTCGTGAACTAGATATTTATTTCGCCATATCCAACTATGCCACTTGGTCACTATAACCAAATCTTGGTTATTATAACTAAACCTTTTTCTGAGTGTAGGGCTGAATAGTGTTCTCGGCTTTTCAAAAAGTTTTTCCTCGAATTTTTTTTGTAGGCGTTGCTTATGTAGCAAGGAAGAATGCTCCCACATGTTACGTGAAATAGATGATAAACTACGAACAGAATTAAACTATACGCAGGGAATTCATTTAAATGAAATACACGAAAGCGAATTAAATTATCAGGTTTATCAGAAAACTCTATCTTTAATTCCATAAGTTCATTCCACGTGGTTAAAAATCTGTATGGAGACATCATGCATGATGTTTTTGAGGGAGTTTGCCACTATGATGTCTCAAAGGTTTTGCTCCATTTTATTGAGACAGAGAAATGCTTAGATATAAATACTTTAAATGCAAGAAAAGGTCTATTTCAGTATGGTGAAACCGAAATTGGCAATGCACCCCCCCTATAAACATTTATCACTTAAAGAAAAGTAAATTAAGTATGTCTGCCCGCGAAATGTGGACCTTTTGCCATTATCTTCCACTAATGATAGATTTAATTTCGATAGAAAACAAGCATTGGAAATTGTTGTGTCTATTAATTCAAGTAATAGATTTAGTGCTCAGGACAGAATTTGATGAAAATCTTTTAAACGAAATGCAGGAAAAAATCGAAAAACACCATAAGCTTTATGTCGAACTACACTAAAACCAAAATTTCATTTTCTGATTCACTATCCCACGTTCATAAAAAATGTTGGACCATTAAAGAATCTCTGGTGCTTTAAATTTGAATCTAAACATAGAGAATTGAAAATATACATGAATTCAATAACGTCAAGAAAAATACGACTATTTCAATTGCAACTAAATGTCTGCTTAAATAATACCTATAATTTCACGGATAAGATTACTATAAAAAAGACTTTATATAAAGTGGGTTATTTTTTACTTTCAAAGGCTTTAAGTATTTTTGAGATAAAGGACATAAGTTTACTTGAAAACTCCGAAGTAAGGCTTGTTTGCATCAAATATAAAACTGAGCAATTTTCGGAACATTTTCAATCATATTTGGTATCACTGGAAGAAAACAATATTTATGTCTTAGCCCAACCTGAATTTTACAAACCACCCTTACACATAAATCTTTCTCCAAATGGAAATTTGTATATAAGACCAAAATTTTATTAAAAATATATACACACGGACAACTTCATTACCAAAAAAATCATGCTTAGGTTAAGAAAAACTATAAACATATGTACATATGTATATCTATATGGAAAAACAAACTCAAAATGCTTTAACATTGTACCTTTTTGTGCATTATTCGTTTTTAACATGTTATTTTATGTGTTTATTTCTTAAAAAAATAAATTTTTTCGAATAAAACATCTTTAATAATGTATTTATTTTTCAGAATAGCAATATTTAGGAAACATGGCAACATTGCATTTAAAATCAACCACCAATGCAGCAGGAAAATACTGAAAAAATAGTAATGCTACCGCAAAATTTGTAGAATTTACTATTTTCGCTGTAAAGGTACCATAAAAATTGTATTGTAACAATGTTTGCGGTTTGGTACCACAATTTTAGTTACAATACAATTTTTGTGGTAGCTTAACAACGAAAATAGTAAATTCTACTAATTTTACGGTAATATATATTACTATTTCTACAGTATTTTTTACTGCTTTTGTGGTTGATTGGGCATTACTATTAATATTAGTAAATTTTACAATTTTTGGGGGTTGGAGCCATTCAAACCTACTTTTACGATTAGATCAACAAACTAACCGTGGTTAAAAATTTACAATTTTTTTGGTAAAATTAAAAATTTTTAACTGCATCTTCAGTAATTTTTTTTTTAACTATTTTTTATTGGTTATTTTTACCATATTGGAGCCATACTAACCTACGTTTTCGTTTAGTTTAACCCACAAATTTTTTTGGGTGTACGTGATCTAAGTTTAAACTAGCAGAGAGAAACTGGCCCTTAAAGTTCTCGTAAAGGATGAGAATTAGGGATTGGCACGGGTACGGGCTAGAAAATTTGAGCTCAGCACGAGATCGCACAGTAAATTTCCAACAAAGCACACAAAATCTCGATGGATTATATTGACTTTTTTGTCCAGGAAAGTACAAAATAGATGTTGAAATTTATATATTTTAGCAACCACTTCGCATCCTGAATTTGGTAATTTATACTCTCGCAAACGGGCAAATTATTTTAAAACTATGCAAGTTTAATACATTTTTCTAATAATCTTATCTATCGTTATGTAAAATTACGGAGCTTTTACGATTTTTGCGAGTTATAGATTGGCCGCCATTTTGAAATCAAGAGTGGTAAACTTTTTGCCTACAGTTTAACCCACCAACTCTCACCGAAAATAACGAAAACCATTGAAAATTGTGCCGCAACATATATAGTTTATTTTACCTTAGCCCAAAGGGGATACATGACCTGAAGGAATTTCAGGACTACTAGTCGGTAAAACCCCACAAAATCTTGGGCATATCTCAAACACGATGGCTTTCATTAGAAAGCGTTGTGTTAAGAATTAGAGTCCGAC